TATAGATTTTAAACCTCAAACTCAATCACAAACAACAGAAAAAACAACAAAAAAACCGAAAAAATCCAAGCGTGATGCTGATACACCGAGTAAATCAAAAATAATTTTATGAATGAAATTAATGTTTAATTTTTTTAGCACCCGAAGATGTATGTGAAGAATTAAAAGATGGTCAATGGCCTGATCCATCCGATTGTAAAAGTTACTTTTTATGTCGTGGTGTTGGCAGCCAGTGGGGTGAACAAAAACGTGAAGTGTGCTATACTGGTAAAGAAAAATATTAGAAAAAAAAGATAATATAAACTTTTCATATATACTTCTTTTTTAGGTGCTTACTTTGATCCAAATGAAAAAACATGTAAATGGATTGGTTTAGATAAGGTTTGTCTTTGTCTTTAGTTACAATTTGATTTATATGTATATTATTATTAGCTTAATTGTGAAGAACTTGTCGAAGGTTATGAAAATCCAGTAGCTGGTGTTACACGATCTTCAAATAAAGGAGACGATGATGACGATGATACAGATGATGATGATAGTCCAAGCGATGCAGGTCCAACAAAATCAAAGAAAGAATCCAAAGGATCATCATCAAGCAAATCAATATCAATATTAAGTCGAACAACATCTGAATTTGAAACATGTACACAAGAAAAAGCAGTTGAATTTGATCCTGTACAAGGTATTAAATATATTCCTTTTTTCCTTTTCAACATGACTTTCTTCATCTACTATAGCCTTCTATAGGTATGCTTTGCTACTCTTGCGACAGTCAGAAGGAGAACAGCGATTGTCAAATGAATCCGAATCAGACAACATCAACGATGTGCGAAACGAAACAACAAATATGCTACAGCAAAAGAACCACAAACGCCGCAGGTTAAAAATAAAAGAATATTATTTTATTTAATTTTGAAACAATCGGTAACTATTTATATATATGTTCATATAGGAAAACTACTACAATTCAGTCGGGGTTGTTCAACGCCTCCACCATCGACGGGCAATCTCACACAACAACCACAATGCTTATCAAGCAAAGCAGAAGGCAAGACTATATGCGTGAAATATTGTCAAACGAGTTTATGCAACATCCAGGATATAAGGTTATTTTTTTATCTTCACCTTAAGTATCAATATATAACAAAAGATTTTTTTAATATTTTTAGCGATGGCGCCATAGCCGTTTCAGTCAGTCAAATTACACGCGTCGTCTATTACCTTTTAGCCCTATCAATAGTTGTCATATCAACACATCATCATTGTTAATCATGATAATATGCATAACTGAACTAATTTCGCTGTTTATCATTAATTAATCATTGTTCTGTTTATTTTCTTTGTTTTTTTGCCTAAGTCAAAAAACGATACTCAACAAATTTTTATTTGGTTTTTCTCTTGCTGAGAAAAAGAAATGTTCATTTTAGAACACTGATCTTTCATTGAAAAATCAAAATACTGCGATAAAAGTAAAACGACAAAATAAGAATCTATAATGAAGAGCATTTTTAGTTTGACCTAACAATAAATCTCTAAATATTTTTTACAATCGAGCAGAATTCAATATGTTCATAAATGACTTGTATATATATCAATTGAAACCAAACGAAAGTACAAAAAAAAGTAAAATTTTCGCTATTCTTTTCAAGCTGATAAAAGAATTGATGAAAGAGAACGAGAGAAAGAAAAACGAAATCTATTCTTATACGTTCGTCTACAACAATTGATGATTACCTGTTGGTTTTGTTGCCTCATCTCACCAAAAACTTGTATCATAGAAAAAAAAATTATATAGTATCACACGTTTCTCTCTTTTAAGTATGTTTTTCATTCTTTTCGTTGATGACAATCAAAAAAGATTTATTTTATTTAGAAGCATCTTTTTAGTGAATGAAAATGATGCAACCTATGTCATTAATTACGTATGTATCATATAAAAGAAAACTAAATATTTGTATAAAAAAATCATTTCATTAAGTGTTGTGGCTATATTAATACCAGCTTTGGTAACTATTGCTATTTGTCTACTCATATGTTATTCACATAAAAATAAAAATGGAAAATTTCAACAATCAACACGTATGAAACTATTCTTAATTATTGTTCTAAAGAAAATTTAAGTTTATACTAAAGGTCAAGAATAAAATGTTTAACGACAAAGAAAACAATGAAAGTTGATGTATCAAAAAAAAAACTTTTTATAAAATGAAATCAATCAAAATAGTTAAATCATTATTCACTTATCCTTGATGATTTGAATGATGTTTATATAAAAACTTGAGAGATCATTTTCTTATGATCTTGAAAACGATCTATTCATTGAGAAATAGGATATAGTAAATTCTCATTTTTAATTAGTTATTCGTTGTAGATCCAGTTAATGAATCTCGTCGTATACATGAACAAATATCACAAGAATATTGTTTAGTTGATTATCCATCTGCTTATCGCTATCAACAGCAACGTCGTTTACATGAATATCCATCAATCTCCGAACAATCTCCTCCATCCTATAATAATACTATCGAACAAACAGGAAGACAACAATTACCATTATTTTCATCTATTCGTACAATACCGTCAACAACGTATGGTTATCAGAATTCACCTGTTGTGAATCCATCTATTTATACAGCAAAACCACCTACATATGCTGAAATCTTTCTAACATCAAATTGATAGAGAATTTTCTATATAATAATATAGATATATTAATTATGAACATCTAGCCGAGATAAAGTGATAAATACATTCTTTTGCGATTATTTAATAATCTAATGTTAATAAAATTGAAAAAAATCATGAAGAAATCTTTATCTTGATTATAGTATTTTATACTTTTTCGTCTTTCGATCATAAAGCAAATAAATATATATATCATGACTTATCTTTAGTAACTGACAGAAATTGAAATGTATAATGATACAATATTCATAGTATGCGATGAAATAGAAAATGTTTAATAACATCAACAATCGTTACACAAGGATAACGAAAATAGAATGTGTTCAATATGAAATTTATGTAAAACTTAGATTCTAATAATGTAGATCAATTAAATATTACAACTATATTTTTATAAGACTAATCTAAAACAAATAGTCATGAAAACGGAAGGAAGAATTCAAAAACTGACTTTGTCGATGATAGAAATAAAAGAGTAATCTATCAATTAAATGATATTTTTTTGAGTTTTTAAATTCGATATATCATATAAAATACTAAATCAAAACAAACAATAAATAGATTTCTATACACGAAATACTAAACTCAGTCAAATATTATTGATTATATCAGTACTATTCGAAAAATAATATACGATTGCATATGAAGTGGATTGGTAATAGAAGATTTTCAAGGTGAACATAAGACATAAATAATAACAACATTAACTAACGACGTTTATACAAGATTATCCACTTTTTGGTATCGATACAAATGCAAGGTCGATCTCACCCGAACAATCCTAATAAACTACATTATGAGATTAAAGTAAAATAAATGTAATTAAAGTATTTATTGTTTTAAGTTGACTTGGAAAGAATAAGGATTTATTTTATTTATGTAAATTGGTTCTTAGCGATCGATTAACTTTATGTAAAAGTTCGAATATTTTCGTCTTTAATTTAATCATAATAAAAACTAGTAAGTATTGATATATGAAGGAAAAAATACGATAGATGTGTCAACTTATATATTTTTCTTTCTTCGAGATTTGTCGTTCTGAGTTCTTTTTCTCTTGTCTTTTGATTCATACGAAAAAACTGACGGCAACTTTTTTTGAAGCTTCTAGAAGAAAAGAAGTATTCGAGTCAATATTATCATCATATGAAATTAAAGCTTATGTACGTAGACTAATACAGGTGTTTGCATATATCATATAAAACGAAAAAAAGCGAAAAAAAGAGAAAGAATCGAAGCACGAAAGAAAAAAGAAAGTGGGGGAAGTAAAACATGGTTTTTTTCCTACCATCTAGTCATTTATTCAATCCTATAACACTTAAAGCGGTACGTGCAACGAACGAATAAAAGTGTTAGGAATTTAGCAACTAAAACATTTGTTCTGAATTGTTGATATATATATATATTTATATCATAAATGTTGCATCAACTTCAATTAGGACAAAATGGTGATCGTTATGTATCATCATCAAAATCAACACCTTCTGATAATGATCATGACGGATCAGAAGGTCCATCATTTTATGACAGTACACATATACTTATGTAAGCTTTCATTCATATTTTTTTGTATTTCAATCGAATATAGTCAATATTTGATTTCATAATATTTTTCTTATTAGTCTCTATATCGAATAACAATAACATATTTCGTTTATTTTAGTGTTTTAGTCGTTTTTATTCCAGTTATATTTACTATTCTACTTTGTACTATTACATATTGTGTCTATCAATATAATAGAAAACGATCTCAGAGAGAACCAACAAATTCTCCAATTGGTATTTATATAGATTTAATATTCTTTGTACAATTATTAATCGTTTTTCTTTTTTATTCGCTTTTAGCATCCGTTAATGCTCCTATTGCAACAGTTATTTATAATACTCAACATAGTTCATTTGTTTTTGAAGAATCTCCACCTCCATATGATTCCTTAATAGATACAAAAAAAGATTCACAAAATGTAACAATAAATACACATGAACAATTTCCATTAACAGTATTACCTAATACAATATCGACAAATCCTAATGAAGAAATAACATCATCATCAGCAATTATTCCAACAGCTCCTACAACATCACCTCCATTTTATATTCAACTTAATGAAACAGATAAATAAGAAACTCTTTTGTAAATCTAATTGAGCAATACATACATTCCGAGTGGATAAATTATTAATATTTAATGATGGTGATTTCATATTAGTTTCTTTTGAAATCTTTTATTTTTTATTAAAATATATATATATATACGATGAAACAAGGTTTGCATGTATGATAGTTATTATAAATTGTTTTTAAATATATCTGTTAATAATATATTCTACTAAAGTTTGAATTATGATCTTGAAATCCGTGTTTTATCTAGGTTTCATTTTCCGGAAGGACAGACCGACTTTTAGAGTGGGTAACGCCCACTCGGTGGGCAAAACACTACTTGAAATATCTATTTTCTTAAGATATTCATCTTCAATTTTAAATGTATCATTCATTTACGACTCATATAAGTAATTGGTTTTAACAAGCATATAAATTATTAAATATTGGAATATTTTTTTTTGCTCCTATCATAAAAATTAAATATATAAAGACATTTGTTTTCAGTGCTATGTCTATACTCAACATAACTAATCGATTTGTACCTATACTAATGTTTTTTAAGTATTAAATAAATTCAAAGCCATGTACAACTCTTCTTTTACTACTACGTATATTTTTATTATGAATAAATAACATGAATACTCGTGTGACTAATTTAACGTCACTTCTTTTGTTTTGTATTATTTTTACGGTAACATGAATATTAAATGATCACAAGAAGAAAAAAAAAGAAAAAACTTCTCCTACACTTATTTTTAAAAAAAAAACTTGAGTTTCCATCAGTAGCAATAATAAAAAAGGAAAAAAGACGTCATCGTTATATATATATATATATACATTTTTTTTCTCTTCTTTTCCTTTAAAAAAAAACTCGGCGAAGCAAATAAAATTGCAACAAAAAAAAAAAGAATTGATTTTGTAATTTTCTTTTTTTTTTCTTTTACTTTTCTCTTCAATCGTCAATATCGAAAACAAACAAATATACTGTTACTCGACCATATATGTATGTGCAAGAATTGACAAACTAGTAAAAATGAATGCACGAACAATTATTAGTTTATGCATATTCGTCTTTCAACAATTATTTTTTGTTAAGGTTATCTATTTAAATATGCATTTTTATATTTTATCTATAAATATATTTTAATAGATCGAAGCAAGAGATGTATGTTATTATCTTAATACAAATTCTACAACAATGACAATTAAGTAAATAAAATACTATATATAGTATGTAAAAAAAATTCTTTTTTTTTATTTTTATAAAGTTGTAATGATGGCTGTTGTTCCGCTGTAGCTATGTCACCTGATACAGCATGTTGTTCGACGATTTCATGGGGTTCAGTGTAAGATAATATTAGTTTATTAGATTTATTTTTCTATTTTTTTTGTTTAGAGCAATTCCTTTCTTTGTATTTATGGGAGTTTGTATACTTGCTGTTTGTGTTGTATATTGTCGACCAGTATGGAAAGCATGTTTATGTGGATGGAAATGTCCTTGTAGTAATCCAGCCCGTGGTATATTATTATTTTTTTCATTTGAAATTTCTTTTAATATCGAATATTTCAATTTAGTTTCTACACCAGTTTCTGCATCAACACATAATAATCCTATTTATATAGTAAATAATGATGATCTACCTGATTATGAAACAATAATAAAAGATGTACCTGTAAAAGACGGAATTCCACCACCTTACAATTTTGTTACAACACATCCGACTGATTTTGGTATTGAAACACGTATTCCAAGTGCACCACCACAATATCATTCAAGACGTAGTTCATCAGCTATTATACAATCTAATATTCCGAATGATCCTTAATGTATATGTTTCTTTCGTCAACCTTAATTGGTGCTCGATTTATATCTGTTTTTATATCAAATTATTCTCTCTTTCCTTCTTTTCTGTTCATTTTCAATAACACAACAATTTGTATGATAGCAAAAAAATCAAATCGATCATATACTTGTTTATGCATCGGTACTTCTTATAATCTATTGATAATCTCATCATTGATGCTGCGAAACATATATCTCGAGAAGGAAAAGTTTGATAGCTCAAGGCTATACTAGTAAAATAAAATCAAAGATAACAAAGGAGGAGAAGCAAACGAGATTAATTCTCTAGAGAAAAATACATGTTTTTCTTTGATCTTTTTAAAGGAAAAGTGAATGGTCATAAATTTGAACTGTTCCCTTTCTTCTTCTTCTTGTTGTCTTCTTCTAATCGTATTTAAGTTGATCAAAAGTTCAATATGTGACACTTAATACACGCGCATGCATATCACACCTGACAATTAGACTTTTTTCTTTGATTGCTTCTCTACTTAGCAATTAAGTGTCATTTTTCTAATGCTTCTAGTAGTAAAATCAACATTGATTATTTCTTATTTGATGTTAACCGATGTATATTCTGATTAAATAAAAAGACATTGAGTACACATATCAATCGGTTTAGTAATACATGAATCAGCTATTTGAATATTCATTCGATAATTAAATGAAAGAAAAAAATTCAATTCAATTAGATCATTATTATTATCAACAACGAAATTCCAGGTGTCATTTAGGTACTTCAAAATACAATAATGTAAACGATTCTGTCTATTTGTCTTCAGTTCCGATGTACTTGTCAGTATTGTATGTGTGCATATAGTGTAGTTTATTTCGTTGAGACTAAACGACGCCTATGGCATGCTGTTTATTATAAGAAAAAGGAAGTGAACTTCGTCGCAATAATTTGTAGACATTTACAGTCGACGCCAATATCATGGAGATTCAAAGCAATTACATGACTTTCTTTTTAAATGACTATAATGATTGATTTTATTGATCAAATAGACTAATGTTTTTCTTACATTTAGTCGTTCATTTTGCTTAAAATATAGTA